GAACGGGCTCTCAATGAAATAGATGATATCGTTGTCAAAATCAATAATTTTTCCATCTGCCGAGTTGATCGATCCGTTCCGGTTCACAAACGAGGTGGTGTTATTACATGCATAACTGACGATTGGTGTAAATCAGGCAAACGAGTTTTGTGTTTTCTTCAATTTTATCAGTGCTTCTCTGTATAAATGTAAATCTAAACACCTCAGTAACTACCGGAACACTGCTTTTGGTAATGTTTACATATTCCTCCTTGTACCACTGATCATTTTATTGAGTGCACGGAAATTTTCTCCACCGCTTTGCTTATTTCAGTAGACTCTTCCCTTTGCATCCTGTGTGAGACTTCAATAGGTTTGATGTCACGTTTTGGGCTACACTTGGACTACCTAACGTTGTCAACTTTCCGACCAGACTAGGCACTTGCCTTGATCTGTGTTCCGTTAAAGACCTGCATTTATTTAACTTGCGCAGCCGTTGCCTTATTGGTATTTCTGATCATGCAACACTGACAATATCTCCCACAATGTACAGTAGATCCAATCGCAAGTTGTACAATCGGAATCGTGATTGTCGTCTTCGTCGAGGTCAGTGTCAGCCGGAAAATCTCGCCAGAATAGGAATAACATTAGCTTAGGCAGATTTCTCTCTATCTGTACAAAACGATCCCTCTAGACTTTGTGGAAAAACGATAGAATATTTGAAGTTCGGTTGGGTTGAATGTGTACATGAGAGCACTTTGGGATTGTCACACTACTCACTTTCTTCCGGAGTAGTGGTAGTCTCAGGTGTGGTCGTGGTTTCCGTGGTAGCTGGAATGGGAGCAGAACATGGTAAATAGCATTGTCAGATATATGTGAGAAAAGAAAGTGAGTGGAATTGATTGGACGCTGTGGGGTGAAGGGGAGTGTGATTGTTCGCGTGAGTGATTGGTTGCGTTTGTGGCTGAGTATGAGATCGATTGCGTTTGTGATTGAGCGAGTGGGGGACTGAGTGAGTGAGTGAGTGACTGAGAGAGTGAGTGATTGATTGATTGAGCTATTGTTTGCATGTGTGATTGAGTTGACGTGTGTGCGAATGAGGCAGCGATAGATTGAATGTTTTTCTTTGGTGTGCGTTTGCGTGTGCGTGTTCGTGTGTGTGTATGTGTTTGTGATTGATTGAGTGTGTGGTGTGTGCTGGTTGGTTTGAATGTGTACATGAGAGCACTTTGGGATTGTCACACTACTCACTTTCTTCCGGAGTTGTGGTAGTCTCAGGTGTGGTCGTGGTTTCCGTGGTAGCTGGAATTGGAGCAGAACATGGTAAATAGCATTGTCAGATATACGTGAGAAAAGAAAGTGAGTGGAATTGATTGGACGCTGTGGGGTGAAGGGGAGTGTGTTTGTTCGCGTGAGTGATTGGTTGCGTTTGTGGCTGAGTATGAGATTGATTGCGTTTGTGA